TGCTGTCCTCATACATATCCCGCTGTCCTCATACATGTCCTGCTGTCCTCATACATGTCCTGCTGTCCTCATACATGTCCTGCTGTCCTCATACATGTCCTGTACCAGTCTAACAAATTTCTCTGCCACTCCACATTTCCTCACACAACACTACAACTCTAAAGGCTTAAGAATAAACATATAAAAAATATAGGCTTTATTTGGCAATTATATTATTATATAGGCAGAAAAAATAATATTTTCATATATTTGGTTGAAAATTATTTACAAACAGAAATCAAACTTGTTTTTTTAAACTGTTCTGTAACTTCGTAAAATGTTTCGAGATGGATGCTTTTTTTTCATCAACATGACTTTTATTTTTATTCTTGAAAGACAGAACAGTTAAAATAATTCCTCACATTTTTATTATTTCTCTCTCTCTTTGTTTTCTTATTCTTTTTTTCCAGGCATGCTGATGGAACAGTAAAGTTCTGGGATGCCTCTGCAAGTAAGTTACCTTCTCTATTTTAAGCTTTTTTTTTTTCCTATTTAATTTTGGTAACAAGTGAACATGTGAAATTATGAGCTTTGACTAAACTGAGAGGCAAAACAGGAAAATTATTAAAATAAAAAGTGCACTGGAATACCAGTATTCTATTACCTAAACCATTATGTTTTGGTTAGATTTGATCTTGTAGCCTCAGTTAGCTTTGATTTCTCTACATTTCCTATATCCTTACACTGTGACTGACACGTCCCTTTATTCTCCTCTCTTTAGTAATGCTCCAGGTGCTCTATAAGCTCAAAACAGCCAAGGTTTTTGACAGGAACCGGTCTAAGGAGGACAAGGGCAACATGGAGGTGTCAGATGAAGATCCTTTTGCCATTCAGATTATGGCCTGGTGCCCAGAGAGCCGGATGCTGTGTGTGGCCGGCGTGTCGGCCAACGTTATCATCTACCGCTTCAGTAAGCTGGAAGTAACCACTGAGGTGGTCCAGGTGGGTCTCAAAGTCGTACTTTTCTTTTTAAAGATTTTATTTTAAGTCCATCACCAGGCACCTTTTTTGTGTGTTTTTTATGATTTGCTATTACCATTCACTTCCTATTCTACTTAACAGACACACACACACACAAATCTGGCCAGTCAAAAGCAGTATGGTTGCCATGCCAACAGACAGCAGTGAACAAGCAAATCTAGACCAACATTATAATCTTCTTTTATAACAACCGAAGTGTTAATGGCAGCGCAACGAGAGTCTGTGTTTAGTTGAATAAAGACAAACGCAGTTAATCTCTGCGACTTTGCTCGCATCTTCTATATTAAGTGTGATAATCTGCGCCTACATCCATAGCTTCTGCTGCGGAAAGTTTCATCATCATATCCGATATACTTTTTTTATTTTTTAAAGTCTGGTGTAGTTTTCTTCCTCAGCAGATGTGGTGTTGCAGTGCTGTCTGCACTGTGATCCCTTGTCAATCATGCGGCATGTGGGCGGCGCTGTGATGTTCTGTAGCTGATGCCCACTGCTTTGAGCTGGGAACAGCGCGTCCTAAACATTTAGTCATGAATTCTTTCACTTTCAATCCTGATGGCTCTTTTTAGGCAACCACGTCTGGTTTTGTATAAGAGGAAACATCTTAAATGTGCAGGAGTGAAGTCAGAGAGACAGACTGAAGGAGGGCACTGATCCCTCTTCACTCCCACATGTCAGTGAGGCTAATGAGAATGACGGGATGCAAAAGACAAGCGCTTATGAGCATTGTGTGTGAGCTTGGGAGTTTGCGAAGGTGGAGGTTGCAAAGGGGGGAGCCTGAAGGAGGATTTCGAAGGACCTCTTTGACTTGTAGTCTGCCCACACACCAAACAGATCATTTTAATCAAAGCAGCACCATTCTCATATTCCTTTCTGTTCAAATCGCTGGTTCTCCTTTCAACCAGGGCTTACTGGTTTGCTATCTCCTCTAAGCGTCGCTGCGTGCACATCTGTGTGTGTTTACAGCTTCTGGAGGTGCGGATGCAGTACGAGCTGAACGAAACGGAGTCTCCAGATGGCGGAGGTGGAGGGGGCGAGCAGACGTCGGCCCATCCCACTCCTGGTGCCTCCCCTCAGACGAGCGGCCCGCCTTCACACCCGTCCACCAGCAGCAACAACTCTGACGGAGGCAACGTTCCCTGCCTCAAGTATGAAGCATGCATAAAACGGAGGCACTTGCATAAAGTTTAAAAAGCAGCAAGGGGCGCTTTCATACACGCGCGTGCATGCACGAGTCTCGCTTTTAGCCTCGAGCACACTTGTATAGAGTTAGTCAGCGCCTGAAGCATTCGCCGCCAAAACCTTCCCATCACCCCCCTGCAGCCACTCATGCCAGACTCTCCATACACCGAGCTGCTTCTCACATGCAGCTGCACCACTTGTGCTTTTCCTTTTCATGTTTCTCTTTCTCATTCCATTTTGTGTTCTTCTTCACAGGGTGCGAAGTACTCCTTTGAAGCAGTCTCCAGGTTACCAGGTGGACTTGGTGGTCCAGTCAGTGTGGGTGAGTGGAGAGCCCCCTCAGCCCATCACCAGTCTGGCTCTGAATTCCACCTACAGCCTGTAAGTGAACCGGACGTAGCATTTCAGTCAAAGTTCGAGTCAACTGCAAGTGTTTTTGTAGAAATTATTGCTCAAGAACTAACTCTGTTTTACCTTTTATTAAGCAGTCTCCTAAGTACTATTTTAAATAAAGAAGTTTAGACATAAATGCCCTTTTTAAAAGGTCTAGTTAAAGCCTATATCACTGGCCACCTCCAAGTCCAGAGTTAGATCATTTTATCCTGAAAAAAGATAGGATTTGAGCCTTTTTGGTCAAATATTGAAAACATTATGTACAGTAGTTCCTCTTTTATCACGGGGGATCTGTACCCTGAAGCCCCACGATAAGAGGAAAAACTGCAAAGTAGGGATAGTAGTAGTATTAAGTAGTAGTTTATTTTAGTATTTATATAATTCATTCAACCTTTATTTATACAAGTTAGTTCCCATTGAGTCTCGAGGACTCATTTACAAGAGAGACCTGTATATTATATATATATATATATATATATATATATATATATATATATA